TGTCCCTACATAGCACTGGCAGCCCTGGACTTAACAGATATCTACAAAAGTCTATTTTATTGCAGCAACCCTTCCTAACGGCACAACATCTCTAAGCCTTTTAGGAGATACAAATCATTTGGGGGGAAAGACCAATTGTGTTTTATGGATTTGAAGTATACCAGATTTCATGCACTGTTCTGCATCCAATTCTGTTTGGTTACTGCTAACAAAGGGAACAGGAGTGCAGAGCACCTTAAAGGCAAATAAACTGTATTTCAGCACAAGCTTTCCTGAGTCAGAACTCCATCATCTGATGAAGTGAGCATCTGACTCACAAAGCTATGGTGAAAGCAACAGTGATGTTCTTTACAGAAGGTATCACTGAACTCCTTTTGTTTTCCTGGTACAGACACCTGAAATTAGACTACTAAAAACTCATGACACAGTATGCTTGTTGGCGCTTTAAGATACTGTAGAATTCCTTAGTAACACAACAGAGTATTATTTATTTACAATACATTTTGTGTGGGGTTTTTTACTTTCTGTGGCCACCCCTCGTCAAGCTTGTGCGGCCAATTCCGAAAGCAAAGGAAGACACCATTTCATCTTTGTCACACACACACACACCAGGTTCAAGAAGCGTTTCTTTCTTGCACGCACCGCTGCCTTTTTCTTCCTATCATAAATCGGAGCGGCGCGTAAAAAAATCTGTGGCAGCTCACTCGCGGCACGCCACCGGGTCCTCCAGCAACAGCTTCGCTCTGACTGAATGCTCATCGCCCCGACTGCTCCGTGGCAGCCAAGGACGGCCGGACACATCAGTCGAGGAAGGGCCACTGAAGGGCCAATTATCCCGGGAGTCCCTCCCTGAGACGCCGCGGGCGGGCGGGCGAGCAGCACCGAAAGGGATCCTGCGGCCAGGAATTTGCAGCGCTGCTGCCAGGCGACGCGGCGAGCTGGGGGTCTCAGCTCCGGGGTCAGCCCGATCGGAGGGGACGCAGCAGCCACGCCGCCCGCCCGCCCGACGCAAGACAGGCACTGGCGCAGCCCCAGCTAGCCCGCCACGCAAGCCAGCAGTCCACCGGGGTGGAGCGCTTGAGGAGAGGAAGCGGCCCGAGACAGCCCACCCCGCGCCCGGTCCCCAGGCTCTACCTTACCTGCCCCGCGCAACAGGGCGCGGACATGCTTGCCAGAGACGGCGGGGCGCTTCTGCCCACCGCGGCCGGCCTCTCTCCGTCTCTCTTTCTTTCTCTTGCGCGGGCGGGCGGCCAGCCACACAAGCCCAGGCACCGCCGACGCGCTCCCCACGCAAGCCCTCCCCTCCGCTGCCTGGACGCGCAGAGAGCGCACACGCGCCCCCTAGAGCGGCGAGGAGCGCGACGCCTTCGTCCCTGCCACGGCTGCTGCCTCAGCGAACAGCTCAGCCCAACCCAAAGCGCGCAGGGCTTCCGCTGTCGTCAGTTGGCTTAGCAGCAGATAAATCAAGGCTTTCCGGTGCGGGAGGATCCCAGCCGCCTGCGCTGCTGTGAAGCCAGGCTCCAAACAGGGCTGCGGGAGCGGAGACCACCTGTCCGCCGCCAAGAGGGCACCTGCTGGCGCTTGTTTACGAGGCCAGAGCTCCAGCCCCCCCCCGCGCGCCGGGAACAGGATTTGAGGGAGAGACGGGGCGTTGCGCGCCTCCTTCCATTTGGTGGGGGTGGGGGTGGGGGTGTTATCAGTGCTGTCAGAACACATACCGTATTTGAACCAAGGTTCCTCATGGCTCATTGGGTTGAAGAGCAAGACAAATACAAATAAAACTCTTCAATAGCCAACTAGTGTTGAGTGAACTAGACTGTCCCATCAATGGAAAAAGCTTCCTCCTTACAATCTCAGTGTAAAACTGGGGGGAAAAATATTGAGCCATTTGGCATACATGTTATGTGGCCATAAGCCTGACTCTTCAGGAACCAGCAATTCCCTTAACACATCTAGATAAACTGATCCAGATGAACCACAAACAGAAGGCGGGAAGAAAGTGTAAGCACAATGCCTTTTACCCCCGCAATGGAGATCTGTGTGCAGGTTCAAGAAATGAAAAGTGCACTAGATGGCTTGCCCTTTCTACAAGGCACTCAGGGTAGCAAACAAGGCTGTCCAATTTTTCCATTATCTTCAGAACCACCCTTGGGGATCTGAACACTCAGTGGCCTTCCTTCCTCTAGTCCAACTGTCCTAACTGCTACGCCACACTGACTAGTAGCTAAGAGAATGAAGGGTGATCTGGAGGTTACCAGTTCAAACACCAAGTAGTACACCAGGCACTTCTCTCCCATCATCTGTAGTACTAGTCTTCTATACCTGACTGCAGTAATGTATATGAAGTGTGGATACCTTGAATAAAACTTTGGTGGTCTTAAAGGTGCCCCACTGGACTCAGACTTGTTCTGCTGCTTCAGACCAACATGGCTACCCACCTGAGTATATGAAATAATTTGAACATAGAAAGCACTATGTATACGCTTAGTTGCTAGAAAATTCATGAACTTGTTTGCCTAAAAAACAAGCTGCTGCAGAAAAGTGGGGATAATTTTAAGATAACCAAAATAAAATTGAGCTTGGCGTCTCTCCCTCCCTCTGTGGTTCTCTGTTGTCAGATTTTAAACTTGTAAGCTTCTCAAGGCGGGGAATGCTTTTGCGTTTCTTGTTCACTAAAGGTCAATGGAACCACTTACATTGGGGTAAAAACCCAGGCATTTAATGATCCTACTTTATTGTATGCATTGTACATTGTTTTTAATTGCATAGCCTGCCTCAAGTTGCAGCAAGACTGACTACAATTGAAATAAAAATTAAGTATCTGAAGACAAAGCTACCTAACAGTTGATTTTACATGTTCTAATTTGCTTGTCTAAGAGAACAATTTAAAATGGGCTAGATAATTCTTAGATACAAACGGTTCCATTCTCTCAAGTTTATTACTTGTAAATGGAGTTCTGAGTTTTATGGTATCAGTTGTGTTTCTTTTTCTTCAGATATCAGCTTCCAAAAACATAACAGCACTCCGCATAAAGCTAGTCAGTAAAATCCTTTCAGTTAGAAAGGCTTGAATACAATGCTTCCATTTACTTGAACATTAGCTTTTTGTGCCACCGTAGTAAATTATTCACTTGTTATGGCATCCACGATACAACTCCAGGATTACGCAACAGCAGGAACTGCAGTCTCCCTTCTGGTAATCTCCCATTTGACAGATACAGAAGTACCAAATCTGACCCACCTTTAAAGTGTGTAGAACATTGTATAACTTTTATCCTTCCTAATACTTCTTTGAAAGAGAATATATTCCCATACTGATTATGGCACCCTTCTGGACCGCCTTTTGGGGTGGGACTAGGAGACACTGTTTTGCAGTGGTTTCAGTCCTACATAGGGTTGCCAAGTCTGGGTTGGAAAATACCTGGAGACTTTGGGGGTGGAGCCAGGAGAGGGCGGGTGGCCGAGGGCTAACATCCTGACAAAATGGAGATGCTACTGCTAGAAGGTTTGACACAGGAATCGTTAAGGATGGGGCTGTATTACCACTAAAGAGGCAGGTTTGTATCCTGAGGGTGCTGGTGCTGCTGGACCTGGGCCTCCTGTTGGATAAACAGGTGGCAGTGGCAGCAGTAGCCAGGGATGCCTTTCATACGCTTGGTGGGTGCAGAAAGGAATGCCTTTCATCAGCTTGGCAGGTGAGCCAACAGCTCTTCTGCAAAGGCAGGAAAGGTATTGCTACTACAGTGCATGCCCTGGTAACACAGAGATTAGATTCCTGCAATGCATTCTATATGGGGCTACCCCTGAAGACTGCCCAGAAGGTATGGTTGGTGTAACAATGCTGCAACCAGGATGTTAACTGGAGCAGGTCATGGAGACCCTATCATTTTGGTTTTGTTCCATCTGCACTGGCTTTCAGTTTGCTTTTAGGCCGTATTCAAGATGTTGGTGTTGACCTTTAAAGCCCTATATGGCTTGGGGCCAGGATGTCTTAAGGACTGCCTACTCCCATATGAACCTACCTGACCGCTCTTGTCTCTGGTTGGCAGCCAGTGTGGTGTGGTGGTTAAAAGTCTCAAACTAGAATCTGGAAGACCCAGGTTTAAGTCCCCACTTGTGCCATGGAAGCTCGCTGGGTGACCTTGGGCCAGTCCTATTCTCTCAACCCAACCTACCTCACAGAGTTGTTGTGAGGATAAAATGGAGGAGAGGAAACTGATGCAATCCACTTTGGGTTCCCACTAGGGAGAAAGGCGGGGTATAAATGAACTAATTAAATCTTCAGAGGACCTGCTTCAGGCACCCTTGTCATTTGGGGCTAGACAGGTGGCAACCTAAGAAAATGCCTTTTCAGTTATGGCACTGAAGCTTTGGGAGTCCCTCCCAAGGGAGATCCATCTGTTTCCCTCTATAGCTGTCTGCCACCAACAGGTGAAAACTTTGCTTTGCTTGGCATTCCCTCACTAAATATTATTAGCCCTCCTCTCTGTTTTAATGTCTGCCACCTTGGGGACCAGACTCTGAGATGGGTGGTAAGGTGGCAGAGATGTTTCAAATAATAATTTGAGGGCAAAATAGAAGACTTGATCCACTTTACTTAGCAAGCACATGGCTGAGATCACTACTTGAACTCAGGTCTACCTTCATCCACTGCAGAACATATTTGTCTCTCAGTTTCTCTAAAACATTTAAATACTGACATATGATGGAGCCTTTCCAAGCACACATCTGCTAGACCTTGAACAAACATCACCTCATGCAAATGGCATTGGCATGTCTAACTGGAAAGAAGTGAGCATACATTTTGGCCTCTCCTCCATCTAACAGATACTGGGAGAACAAAGACTCATCTGTACACAGATCAGCACTCTATGCACCTGGGAGATACTTACAATTTCCTACCCTCATGGATGCATACTATAACACTCCTTTTAGCAGTGCCATGTAGTGGATTCCCTCTATACTATATCTATTACTCCATATTATTAAACAATTTTTGCACTTTTATTTTTAAAGCCATAATAAAAATACATGGTTACAGAACTGAAACACACATACTTTATACATGTTTGCATTTACAATTTTAGTTTTCTTCCACATTCATCTTGAGTCTTCACATTTCATCTTTTCAGTCTTCAGCAGCAAAAATGTTCAATACTCATTTCCATGTTAGTCAAAATATTAATTTTTTTGGCAACCCTAAAAAATAAGCAAATTTAAGAACAGGAAAATTTAATCATCAGGAATAAGAACCTGGTATCCCATGAAGGATTGTCAGAGCTCAGTCTCTCCCATAATGTTACTATGGTGATACAGTTCTAAGTAGTCTCAAAACCGTGGGCTAGTCTGGGAATATGAAGGAAACCTGAACATCACCTATCTGAGCTCTGTAGTCATCAAGGATTATGATTTGTGGACTGGAAGCAAAAAGCCAGGATCTGTGGTTTCCTGCCCACTTACTGAAACACCACATACCAACACTTACTGTTTAATAATAGCTGACCCATGCACCTTACCCACCCAAATGCTGTTAGGTCCAGGACACAGGGATACCCTTTGACCAGTTTTCAGTCAGAAGCGACAGTATAGCTCTTCAGACAACAGTACCCAACATAGTAAATAATGGCTAGGGTGACAAACTCTCAGCAGGTTTATATACTTTCCCCCCATCCCACACTCTCCTGGTACGCAGGTTTCTTATTCAGACTATAGTTAGTATAACATCATGATCCTTAATGTGGTGCCTGGAACCCACTTGCTTCTTCCTAAAGCAGAGAGAGCTTGGCTTTCCTCTATCTCAGTGGACCCGGAGGTGCTTCTGAAGGGCCCAGGAGGCATCACCTTTGGGTACCCGCAGGGACTAACCCCTATCTTCATTATTGGACATCACATGGGATAGACCCACTTATAACATTTTGTGGAATATCCCATTGTTTTGTGCTTGGATTCAACTACTCCACAGTAGCCATTCTGGTGTGGTGCCTGCTACCTGTTCTCAGAATTCCAAAAGTACCTACAGCAAAAGTACCTTCAACAAGGTTAAGGACCACTGAAACATGTGCAAATCTTAATGTTAACCAGAACTGGCTCTGCAAAGGGAGAAGAGGACAAGCAAACAAGAGTTTTCTTTTCACTTCACCCTGTCTTTTCAGTGGAGACAGTTCAGCTGCAAGTCATTGGGTGAGGAGGGACAGTGTGTGCTGTATGTGTGAATCAACCCTCAATCTCATTGTTAGTGAAGAACACAGTGTACCACATGACCAATTGCCTTACAATACTATCTCAGTGGACCCGGAGGTGCTTCTGAAGGGCCCAGGAGGCATCACCTTTGGGTACCTGCAGGGACTAACCCCTATCTTCATTACTGGACATCACATGGGATAGACCCACTTAACATTTTGTGGAATATCCCACTGTTTTGTGCTTGGATTCAACTACTCCACGGTAGCCATTCTGGTGTGGTGCCTGCTAACTGTTCTCAAAATTCCAAAAGTACCTACAGCAAAAGTACCTTCAACAAGGTTAAGGACCACTGAAACATGTGCAAATCTTAATGTTAACCAGAACTGGCTCTGCAAAGGGAGAAGAGGACAAGCAAACAAGAGTTTTCCTTTCACTTCACCCTGTCTTTTCAGTGGAGACAGTTCAGCTGCAAGTCATTGGGTGAGGAGGGACAGTGTGTGCTGTATGTGTGAATCAAACCTCAATCTCATTGTTAGTGAAGAACATAGTGTACCACATGTCCAATGGCCTTACAATATCATCTTAAACACAATGGCCTGGATCTTATGTAGTGTGAGCAGAGCAGCACTAGCAGAAGTGAACTTTTCCAACTACCCTCCTCTTGCTAAAGCCTGCAAAACCCCCTCAAATAGTGCAGGAACAGCATCAGGGGTAAAGTGGGGGGGGGGCTCACAATGGAAGAATGGGAACTAGCAAAATAAGATCCAGGCCAGTGAGTTGGATCCTAAGTCTCCTCCTGCTCACACAAGACTTCCATTAATTTCTTCTTCCCACTGCAGTCCCCACAATTAGTACTGAACACTGCTCCTAAGTGTCCACTGACCCGCAGGAGATGCATAGGAAAGAGAAGGTGGGAAAGTTCCATTCCATGAGCTCAACTCTGCTTTCAGTGCTTAGATAACCCAGTGGTTGATTGAGCCTGCCCTGCAACAGGTAAGGGCTTAGCAGTAATAGTCTATGGCCCAAAAAATAAACACAGGCTTTAGAAGAAGCACCAAAGAGTTCTTCCACTATATTATTACTTAGCATTTTAGAATGTTGAAGGCACTTCATAAATAATCTTGTAATTTAGGCAAGATGTGTGATTTTAAAGGATCACTGATTACATTCAACTGCATTTAATCTGTTAAGCACATTTTGCCTGCTCCAATAAGAAACCTTAAATCATTCATGTAAGATCTTATACCTGAATAAAAATGGCAACATACGTATTCGGAAAACTATCATGTTTTTCATTAACTGTTCAGATTAAACTCTTAAGCATATCAGAAAACACGTAAAAGAATAAGTTGATCATGTTAGCTGCAAAGTATTCTTTCCCAGATACTAAAGGGAGTGGCTGGAGATGCATTTCTCAGAGGTGGCTTGAGTCCAGAAAAGCAATATATGTTTGGCCTGGGGATTATCCAAACATTCTCTTCCAGCAAAGTTCACTGTAGCAAATTCAATCCTAACATCACCAAAGAGAATCAATAATTTGATTTTTAAAAGGTCAACTCAAAATTGCATGATGATTTATGTATGTGGCAAGGCTTTTCTTCCAAGCTTCAGGCCCACCCTGAAGTCATAACTTCCCCCTGAGGCAGTAAGGGGGAAAAGTCAAGTGTGACAGACTGCATTTAAAAACCAGTTTTCATAGTGCAGCTAAATCAGAGAACCAACTTAAAAACCAGTTTTTATAGTGCAGCTAAATCAGAGAACCAAGAGATAAAGACTTAACTTTTCCCTGGAAGGGAGACATTGAGTGACAGGCTGCTCTTCTTCTCTGATTGGCCAGAGAAGGAAAATATATGATCAGCTGAGTGCTGGGGAGACTTGACAGTTGTCCGTCTGGAGATTAAAGTTTAAAGTTGGAACCATTCTGAAGACAGTCAGTTGGTTTCTGACAGAGTTTTGCAGTGCGTTTGACAAGGGAAGTCAGACAGGTTCACCTGTAGCGTGAAAGTAAAAGACTCCTTGCCTTAACTGTAGTATTCCTAACCTGAGGAAGATTTTGCTATAAGGATTCAAAGTCTAAGTGTCAACATAAGATGAAGTCCGCTTTGTACAGACACCAGAGCTGGGAGAGAGATTTGGCAAGGATGACTGGGGTAGTGTGTGGAAACTCCCTTTCAAGTCAAAAAGGAATAGAGTTAATTCCTCTGAGGAGGAAGAGATTACTCCCTGCCCAGACCCTAGTCTGTTGTAAGGGAAAACAGCTTTAAACAACTCAGGAAATAGAAATAAACTGTAATTTAAACAAGGAGTGAATTAGGTTCAGAAAGTCAGTGATCAACTCCAGGAAACCTGAACTGCCATAGGAAACTCTCTGAAGAAACATTGTTGCTGTAATTAAAATATTAAGTAAAACACCTCATACAACTAAGAATACCTGAAAATAAGCTTTAATAACATCATTTTGCCTGGTCAAGAAATGAATTCTGTATTATCAACAACTTTTACCTCAGCAATCCCAATCCTGACTCAGCTAGTCAATCCCTGCCTGTTGAATAAACTTATTATTTTGTTTTTACAGTTAAACCATCTCCAGTGCCATTCCAAAAGGGAAATAAAAAGAGGGCTCCTGCTTTTCCACAAGAAATTCCTTGGGCTCGGCTAAAAGCCAAATTATATTCTCTGGGACAGGGTGGGACAGAAATTCTTTCAAAAACCTCTATTATTTACACTCTACCAAGGAGGAGGAGGAGATTGGATTTTTACCCCGCCCTTCACTACCCAAGGGAGTCTCAGAGCGGTTTACAAACTCCTTTCCCTTCCCCTTCCCACAACAGACACCCTGTGAGGTAGGTGGGGCTGAGAGA